AATAGATGTAATGTACGTCACAACAATTTTTTTTATATTTTACATAAAAAGCTTCAAATAATCAATTTATGCACTTCTAAAACTTTTTTAACAGGGAGAACGATTTCAAAAATTGATTCAAAAAGTGCATTTCTTTTAAAAATGCACTATCTTAAACTTTTTTATGTAAAAATCATGATATATAAAAATTAATGTATGTATGTATGTATGTATGTATGTATGTATGTATGTATGTATGTATGTATGTGTGTATGTATGTATGTATGTATGTATGTATGTATGTATGTATGTATGTATGTATGTATGTATGTATGTATGTATGTATGTATGTATGTATGTATGTATGTATGTATGTATGTATGTATGTATGTATGTATGTATGTATGTATGTATGTATGTATGTATGTATGTATGTATGTATGTATGTATGTATGTGTGTATGTATGTATGTATGTATGTATGTATGTACTATGTATGTATGTATGTACTATGTATGTATGTATGTATGTATGTATGTATGTATGTATGTATGTATGTATGTATGTATGTATGTATGTATGTATGTATGTATGTATGTATGTATGTATGTATGTATGTATGTATGTATGTATGTATGTATGTATGTATGTATGTATGTATGTATGTATGTATGTATGTATGTATGTATGTATGTATGTATGTATGTATGTATGTATGTATGTATGTATGTATGTATGTATGTATGTATGTATGTATGTATGTATGTATGTATGTATGTATGTATGTATGTATGTATGTATGTATGTATGTATGTATGTATGTATGTATGTATGTATGTATGGATGTATGTATGTATGTATGTATGTATGTATGTATGTATGTATGTATGTATGTATGTATGTATGTATGTATGTATGTATGCATGTATGTATGTATGTATGTATGTATGTATGGATGTATGTATGTATGTATGTATGTATGTACGTATGTATGTATGTATGTATGTACGTATGTATGTATGTATTCTCCATATATTGTAAGTGCATTTTTGATAAATCGATAATTTTTTATATAAATTATCAATTTTTCTATTTTTGATGGTCATTTGATCTAATTTAAACAATTGATCTAATTTAAAAAAATGCACTAACTTAAACTTTTTAATATACAAATTATATTAGAATGGAAGAGCACAGCCATAGTATTAGATTGTGTAATCAACAAAATCCGATATAAACTCTTAAAGATATGAACCTTCAAAGTTTTATACCTTTTTGGTTTTTTGTAGTTTTCGAACAATTTAAAATCGCCATAAACTCGCGTTTTTTAGAATTTTTAAAAATTTAATGTACTTTTATGTCTAATAGAGTATGAGCTTACAAAAAATTAAAGAAATCTGAAGACCAGCGGTCAACTTTAAATTGATTTCTCATGGAATTCATGATATAGAAAAGGATTTCACATTAAATGAAATAATTTCCAATATTTGAGAAAACTTAATTTAAAAATTTACATATTCAATTTAAAGAAGTGGAAAATTTTAATTGTCTTTGTTATATGAAGAAAAATATTATAAAAAAGAAATAATATTAATAAGAAACATACAGTTTCTTTTTATTCGATTAACCGAATAATTTTGAATTATCCGATTATTAACCGGCTAGCTTAAAACCTCAAAAAATATATGTCGAGTAAACCGAATAAGACAAAAACTCGAATAATTGAATACCCTACTATATATACTTATACGGCATCTAGTTTGTAGTCTAGTCTAGTCTAGTCTATAGTCTAGTCTATAGTCTAGTCTATAGTCTAGTCTATAGTCTAGTCTATAGTCTAGTCTATAGTCTAGTCTATAGTCTAGTCTATAGTCTAGTCTATAGTCTAGTCTATAGTCTAGTCTATAGTCTAGTCTATAGTCTAGTCTATAGTCTAGTCTATAGTCTAGTCTATAGTCTAGTCTATAGTCTAGTCTATAGTCTAGTCTATAGTCTAGTCTATAGTCTAGTCTATAGTCTAGTCTATAGTCTAGTCTATAGTCTAGTCTATGTCTAGTCTATAGTCTAGTCTATAGTCTAGTCTATAGTCTAGTCTATAGTCTAGTCTATAGTCTAGTCTATAGTCTAGTCTATAGTCTAGTCTATAGTCTAGTCTATAGTCTAGTCTATAGTCTAGTCTATAGTCTAGTCTATAGTCTAGTCTATAGTCTAGTCTATAGTCTAGTCTATAGTCTAGTCTATAGTCTAGTCTATAGTCTAGTCTATAGTCTAGTCTATAGTCTAGTCTATAGTCTTTCATCTGGGAGGTCTTGAAGCCCCCACATGAATCAAATAGAAAAATTCGTATATCTGAGAAACTATTAGAACCAGAATCTTCAAATTTTACATGGAGAACTTTGAAATTCATGTGAACATAGCGATTTTTTAATCGCTATAAACCGTTCCAAACAACCAATGTTTTTCGCTACATTTACTATACTAAATAGCTACAACATGACAGTGCAGGTCAACCATCTGTCTCTTTTCCACTTTCACAACGTATTGAAATGTAATTTCTATTTTTTTGTGGTAAAATTTTGATGAAAAACAATATTAAATGAAATTTTTGAATAAATAGAAGCTATTATTCAATGATTCATCTTTTTAGTAAATATAAACTGTTCCTCTTGTTATGTTCCTCTTTGCCTGAAAACAAAATCTTGCTTTTTACTGTTTTATCCGGCAATTGTTTTAAGAAATTATTTGTTGTAATGTGAACACCGGGCAAACAAATTTTCAGTATTTGTATTGAATTGTGTTTGGCTTTGTTTCTTCAAACAAAACGTTAAAATAGTAATACTCATTTTAAGCTCATTATGAAATAAAAATATTTGTAGCTTGACAAATATTGTTTCTTCAAACAAAACGTTAAAATAGTAATACTCATTTTAAGCTCATTATGAAATAAAAATATTTGTAGCTTGACAAATAAAAATGTTTCACGAAAAACAGTTGATATTTTTTTGCTCTCCAAAAATATTTTGTGTTCACATTACAGCCAACAAATATTTGATAAAAAACGTCAAATATTTGATAGGTATGAACGTAGCTTAAGTTCAATGTGATCAAGTCTTCAGCATTAAAAAAATCCATAAGAGCTTGTTCTCTGTTTGGTAGTCAAGGTACATGGTATGAGTTTGCATTACAACCTATTACTATTTTCTTATTTTTCTTTGCGCCTCTTCAACAATTTTAATCAGATCAAACGTTGGTGGTGGAGTCGCAGAATCGAAGGCCGTCTCGGACTGATGGAGGTTTATTTGAATTACCTCAATTATGGTTGTCCATTAAACTGTCTTCTAGCAAGTTGATGATCAGCTCCTCGCTCTTTGATGTGTGATGTATTGATGCCGTGTGCACTATTGTTGGCAATGCCTATTGATACCAGTCTTTGTAATTGTCACCTTCCCAATTTCGGAGAGGACCACTGCTCTGTCTTCTAGCTTGTATTTTCCTCTTCGCTTTTAGGATTTAACTCCTCAACGTTAGTGGCTAATTATGCTGTGGGCGATACCTTTTATAAGTAGAGTTCCCTCAGGTTCTTTTTTCCTGTGAAAGACATGCCATTTTTCCACGTCCAGCTCAGTATTTTAGCTTTCAGGAATTTCAATATGCCAGTTTACTGCCCTGGCTTGACGTTGTCATCCTTACTGGCTGAAATCTGACTTGTGGTTCGTTTGAGTGAGGTATGGCTTGGCTGGCGCCGACTGTATTTTAGTAGACGGGTAGCGTACTGGGTTATTAAAGAGATACACCGTAACTTTAATATTATTATTTTTACTTTCCATTATTTTTTAACTTTCCGTTTTTGGTCCGCGGGGAATACAAAAAGGTAAAAAACTTTATTAATTCACTGTATATAAGTACTGTCGGAAAAAACTTATACACACTTTTCTACCCAAAATTTATCCCTGATCAAACAAAATATAATATGTTTTTGATCACGTTAGCTTGAAAACGTACTTATGTCAGATATTTTTTTCTAAATCATTCATTTAAAACTTTATTTCAGTCAAAATGGACACCATGAGCAATTAATTAAAACTTTTCCAAAAAATGTAATGTGAAAGTCCATATAAAAAATATAAATCGCAAATGAACTTGACCTATCTGTAGAACAAATGTCAGGTAAATCGGTTCTTGATTGAAAAATTGGTATAAACATATTTTTACAAAAAATGAGTGTTTCTTCTGAGGTGAGACCTATTAGTGTTCCAAATTTCATGTAAATCGGTTCAGTAGTTTTGTCGCGAAAGCGTAACAATCAAACAAACAGTGTCTTTCATATACAATATATATACAATATACCTGGGAAGTGATACTATTTTTCTAAGAGGTGGATCCGAGCAGAACAAGAATCTGTTATCGAAATTTGTCAAACACCTACAAAATCTAAGTAACGGGTAAAAAATAGGGTTTCGTACCTTTAAGCAGTTATATTAGTAACTTTGTTGAATCTCAAACGATTTTAAGTTTCTCAACGGACTTAGAAAGCATAAGCTGAGGCCTTTATAATGTCATGATATTTAAGTAACCTGGAGAGATATGTGTGCATTTTATCGGCAAACATATTTTTGATTTTAGTTTTGCACCGTTTTCGAAGTTTCGAGATGTTTTTACAAAATATTTTATATAGTATTCGTACTATTTATTATTTAATTAGAAAACCATGTCTATTCGTTGTAAAGAACTCAGCTTCTGCTTTCTAAATCCGTTGAGAAACTTAAAATAGGTTGAGATTCAACTAAGTTAAAGACTTATAAGTTCTTAAAGGTACAAAAGTCCGGGTTTTTACCCGTATCTCAATATTTTATAGGTGTTTGGAAAATTTTAAAAATAGATTATTGTTCTATTCGCATCTACCATTCAGAAAATAGTATCACTTCCCAGGTATTTTAATTTTCGTTTATTTTGTCTCACTGTGTTATTTGACGACATTAACTATTTTTTAAAATTCATTTTTTTATATTTTTACAATTTTAGTGATATATGGCATACTGTGTTTCATCACCTACTTTGCAACATTGGGAGCTGTCATATAATTTCTAAAAAAAATATTGATACTTATCGCCTAAAACTTATTTACCTGGAATATTTAATGCTTAATAGAGATCATTGTAATAAGGAATGCCTATCGTGTTTGCAGCAACTGTGTGATATTTTAGAACGAAAAGATAATTCTTATATATTACATTTACCAAATTTGAGAAAAACTTGTATAAATATAAATTATATTAAAAACCTCCAGTTAAAGTATAAACGGTAATTTATTTTGTATGTAGTAAATAGTGTACATTAATTTTTTGCGTATTAATTATACAGACAAATGGATGTTACCAATATACCAAAATTGTATGAAGAGGGATCGTGGGATAAATTGGCAAATATCATTATAGTTAATATTGAATCCAGTGGAAATGAGTACAACAATGAAGGTTGGTTAAAGGATTTTTGCGTACAAATAGAAATTCTTTTGCAATCATTTTGGATTATGGAATCTTATGAGGTAAGTAAATTTGCAATTATTTTTAATAACAATTTAATGTATGTATTATATATGTATACATATGTATATACCAAGTAAATATTTTTTTCAGACATGTCTGATATCAGAAATTTTCAGAAATAATTCTTATACTTTATTAGAATTTTTAATGAGTGTTTATTAGGCCTAAGGATGAACCCAAGTGATTTTAGTAAAATTCGGTCCCTGATTTCTCCTAGCCCCCATACAAATTCCCCTCGAAATTGGCAGTTATGAAACAATCATGATTAAATTTGGCACGGATCAGTTTTGTGTACTTAGTATAAAGTTTGGTAAAAATCGGATCACATTTGACGCTAGTCCCCATATAAAGTCCACTTTCGAAATTCTCTCTTCCATAAATGGCTTAAAAACATTGATGTCATGATGATTCGGCCTGAACGTGTTTTACATAAATTTTAATCATATTACCAAATCTTTTTATGATCGGTCCATAATTTACCCTAAGTTCCGAATAAGGCCCGTTAAAAATCAGTTTAACAATTGTAATTGACAAACAAATTTTAGTACCGCGATGAAATTCGACATGAATTAATTGTATATGAATTTTATTTTTATAAAAAGGTATATTTTGAGTAAGGTAATGGTAAAATTTGCGGAAATGGTCTTCAACTACCTTAAATTTCATCTACCTCTACTACCTCGCTTTTAAACCTCTCTTTTTTGCAAAAAGTCAATTAAAACTTATTCTAATTTGTGAATGAATTCTAGGTACCATCATATTTTTGTACATTTTTAATAAGAAAAGTTAAATGTTCAATAAATCGCCTAAAATAACTGTGGAAATTTGCTCAAACTTTCATATTTTACAACGGTATATAATTTTTGAACATTTGTTACATTGTTTATTTTTTTTTTGGTAAAAAATTCATTTTTGAATACTTCCTGCTTTCAATTGTAAAAATCGTATATATTTTTTGGTAAGAAAGGGTAATTTTTCGAAAAAGTGAAAATTTTAAAAAATCGCCAAAAATAATTGCGCACACTTTTTTTCATGTTCCTAAAAGTAGAGATTCCATACTTTATTGCTGCATATAAACATTTCTGAATACTTGCTACTTTCAGTTGTAAAAATCTTAAATATTTTTTGGTAGAAAAAGGAAAATTTTTCGAAAAAGTGAAATTTTAAAAAAATTGCCAAAAATAATTGCGCAAACTTTTTTCTTGTTCCTAAAAGTATAGATTCAATACTTTATTGCTGCATATAAACATTTTTGAATACTTGCTACTTGCAGTTGTAAAAACCTTATATATTTTTTGGTAGTAAAAGGAAAAATTTTCGAAAAAGTGAAATTTTCAAAAAATCGCCAAAAATAATTGCGCAAATTTTCGCAAACTTTTTTTCTTGTTCCCAATATGGAGTTTCCATACTTTATTTCGGTATATAACAATTTTTGAATACTTGCTACTGTCGTTCGTTTATTAACAAAAAATATTTTATAAACCTCTTAAAAGGGTAAAAATTAACAATTTATACATACGGTATATGAAAAGTGTGGGATGAGCAAAAATTGAAAATTGTGAACGCAAATTTTTTTTCAGTTCCGGAATGTAGAGAGTCCATATTTTATTGTGGAATATAACATTCAACTACTAAAAACTACTTTCACCATTAGAATCCTTATCTTTTTTTTTTTGTTGTCATTTTTATTATTTTTAAATTTTGAACGAATTATTTTAACAGTGTCATTTTAATTATTTAATTTTTGAACGAATTATTTTAACATTACTATATATATAAGATATATTTAAAAAAATCAAAAATCAATCAATGCCACATAGTTAGGAGGACCATTCCAAAAAAAACATTTTTTCCGTGTTCAGTACATTAATACGCATCGATTGAGTGACATTCCTGAATGATATTCTTAAAAAGGCTGTTCCTCGGCACACTCTACAATACATACTTTTAAATTTTTATTCTAATATTTGTAACAATTCTATTAGTCATTTTCAAATCAATTGTTACTGGCGATTTATACAAAATAAAAAATTGCTTGTAAGGAGTGAGATCGAAAAATTCTTAACATACATATATGTTAATAAAAACGAAACCACTAAACTTACTGTCTTAATTTTTTTTATTTGATTGAAATTATGATTACAATTTACAAAAAAAAAAATATTTTTATAGTTTTAATCCCTAGTGATGAAATTTTGAACCTTTTTCTGAAACCCTTCCATTAACGTTTTTATAGTGCTTTCTGTCACTTTGCCCGTTTAAAATCTACCACACTTTTGGACTTTTTCTAGGGACTAGTCTTTATTTACCGACTATCCTATCTATTATCTAGTCTTTAGAGTCTCGTCTATAGACAATTCTATTATCTAGTTTATAGACTACTCTATGAATATGTCATTGAACTAATATACATTCTATTCTATAAACTAGTCAGTAGTCTGTAGAGTAGTCTATTGTCTAGTTTCAGTTTCTAGTTATACCCTACACCACTATAGTGGGGAGGGTATTATACATCTGTGCTGATGTCTGTAACGCATAAAAATATTGGTCCTTCACCCAGAATCACTTTCTGAGTCTATTAAGACATGTCCGTCCGTCCATCTGTCCGGCTGGATGGCTGGCTGGCTGGCTGTCCATGTAAACCTTGTGAGCTACAGGCCACAATTTTGAAGATATTTTGATAAAATTTGGACCAATCGAGGTTTTTGCCACTAGGACGATGCCTATTGAAAATGGTTGAAATCGGTCCATTATTTCACCTAGCCTCCATACAATCCTACCCGCCGAAAAGGGCTTTTAATTTCATAATTATGTTAAATATTGTACTATCTCTACAAAAATCGGCAAAACTTAGTTCTATATACGTCTTAATAATACTACTACCGATTTTCGTAATTATCGAATCTTGAATGTCCAAAACAAACTTATAAACACAAATATCGCGATGAAATTCAGATATATAAAATAAAATATTCACAAAATTTTTTCGGGCTTGGTCCATATTTGCATCTAGCCCCCATATAAAGCCTCTTTCAGAAAATTAGTTTTTCATCCATAAATTGTTTAAATGTATCGGAATAAGGTAATATTGAAGATAAATGCTTTATTATGAAAAATAAATCACATTTAATATTCATAACTGGTGTAGGGTATCATATGGTCGGTCATGCCTGACTATACTTTCTTACTTATTTTAATACTCTATTGTCTATATGGAGGCAATAGACTGTCTAGTCCACTGACTAATCTGGGAACTAAATGGACTATTAGACTCGACTAATCTATGGGCTAATACAAATGAACTGTTTATTTTTAATTGTATTTGGTACAATTGGAATAAAAAAAGTACAACTCTTAATCCAGATTTGTACAATTTTAAAATTCTATTTGCCAGCCCTGTACCACATTATTGTTCTTGTACCACTCAAGGGCTTGTTTACCATAGTCACATGATGCCAAGTCAGGCCAAAAATGAGTGGACACATTATGAAGTTTTATGAATGGAAGCTGCTTTTTGTTAATATTCCTTGATGTAAATTTCAGTATTTATAGAGCCCGTTGTAACAAATGATTGTCTTCTTTTGCGCGCAACTGCATATTACTTGCCATACCAAGAACTTTTTGAAATTTTGTCTTTTGGGTTCTAAACTTTTCTTCAACATTTCTTTGAGTATCAGCAACATAAAATTTTTCACCAGAAAGTTGCGAAAAATCAGCCAGAACATACGTTTCGTCATCCATTATGCAGCAAGAATATTTTTTTTACAAAACTTGACTCCAAAAAGGGTTGCTGTCAGGAACTTTTTGAGCCTTGTATGTTTTTAAACCAGCATTAGTTTTAACTTTTCGTGCTAAATAGTCCGAACACTGAGCTAACCGGGCTGCTTTTCTACCGGATGTATCGGGAGCTCTTTTGAAAATGCTTTCTATTTTTTGGCTTTAGAAACATCATGTGGACCATCCCTTATACCTGAATCAGGTTTTCTATCAACGTTATTTTCAATTAACATGTTTTTCTCTTTCTTTAATTTTAATTTAAGCAATTTTTTATTTGTCTTAATTATCTCGTTGTTTAAAACCTAAGTTTACAAATTTGATTAAATTTTTAATTGATTCAATTAGTTTTTTAATTGAATGAAAAAAATTTTCTGGCCAACTTTTCTATTTCAGTTTTTTTTTAATATTTTATTTTGATTTCTTATGCTAACAATGTTTATAATTCTTAAATAGTCAATACGATTTTAGGCATATAATATTCAAGTTTCCTGACAATTTATAAAACACTTTATATGTTCAAATTTGATAATAAAGTGATATTTTTTGTAAATGCTCAACGCATTGTTAAAGGTCAAGCATTCCTTTAACATTGTGAGTAATCAATTAATAATTTTATTGTTTTAATCATCAACTTAATTGGTTTTTAAAACGTTTTCTACCAAACAAACTAATTCATTTGATTAATAAATTAATAAAAATTAGATTTTATTTTTATTAAATATTTAATTTATATAATTAATGAATTAATCAACTTTAATTTTTGTCTCAATTATTGATATTAATTGTTCTGATTAATTCGTTATTTGGAAAAAAAAGTATTTTTTTAATTTTTTTACAAATTTGATAATTGATATCATCATTTTGGTGATAGGTGCAAAACTTGCTTGATACAATTATTTTGATAATTGAAACATATTTTTAGTTTTTTCTGTGAATGCTTGGGCAACTTTTTGTATGACAAAGTTGGGTTTTGTTGAAAATATTTAATAATTTTAGTACGCATTTTTTCTGGTCACTCATTTTAATCAGATTAACAACAAATTAATATAATTGACATTAAACGTAATAACTGGCATGTTTTACAAAGGTAACTTGATAAAAAAAAATCATATGTTAAGAATTTTTCGATCTCACTCCTTAAATGTTGAACCCACCAAAATCGAAAAATTTGTAGTCGTTATTTTCTTCAAAACTAATTGACCAATTAAATTCATTTTTTTAT